TACTTCAATCGCGCGAAACATCCAGCTCCATGCACTATGCCTATGGCTCGGCCATAAGCTACGCCTGCGGCGACACCGCCTTTCAAGACGATTGTTGCTCTCTATGCCTATTTCAGAATGGTGGAAACCGCTAAATGCACAATATATGACTTGGCAGATGGGTGTAAAGGGATTGCGAAGAGTTTGGGTGTTTTTAGTGCGGTGTGCCCCGGTCCCCGTAACCTCTCCCGTTTTTGTAGACATTGCAAAAATGACAGTTTATCGATGTCCATGGCGTCCGTGCTGTAAGTTTTTTTTACCAGTTTTTAATAATGGTTTGGAACGATTGCATCAGGCCTGTACTAGGTTTTCTCCCTCACTCACTCTTTTCTTCTTTCTATTCTAAGGCTTTAAATATAATTAGAAAAACTTCGTGGTTGCAGCGAAGCACTACTGATAGTGCTGTCTCTGATGACGATGATGATGGGTCAGAGAGCCTCGACCCTGACCACTATCTTCAGAAAAGGCGCGAGACCGTGATACCATCCTGGTGTCGGCTTAGTAACCCTGAATCCAAGTATTTCTCCGGAATTATTTTGCACAAGTTGATGGATTATAAAGAGAGACAAGCTGAGAATCTAGCTTGGGTTCGTCCTGGCCGAAGATGTATGTACCATATCTTTACCTTGAGACAAGTTCTTGGACACTGTCACTCTTTCAAACGTTCAACATTGGTGGTTCCTATTGACCTGAAAGTTTTTGGTTCTATCCGTTGCCAGAAACTTTTTTTGGCGATCAAAGGTTTGCCTTCTAAATTTTTCCTCATTGTGAGGGCATTGTATGTGAACACCTATGGGCGCGGACGGCTGTACAACAAATTTTCGCCTGAGTTCACATCCAGCGGTATAGGTCAAGGCTGCCTTCTCTCACTGTTCCTCCTCAAGTTTGTTATTGACGTGCCGTTTAAAACTTCTGTAGCCGTCTCTGAAACATTGGGGATCCGGATGCTCTCGGGACGTTCGCTGACGGAAGTTAAGTATGCGCTTGATATTGTTCTCCTTGTTTTAGATCTCCAAAAGGCTTGGGTTGTTTTAAATAACATAAATAGCTCTGCCGCACAGTTTTATATTAGCTTCGCACCGACAAACTGCTACAAGACTGAGGTAAAACTCAAAGTCTATGTTTGCAGAGAAGTCAATTGACGTTGTGGATACATTTATATACTTAAGCGGTTGTATACGTTCCGATGAGCTGGCTGGAACCGAAAACACTTCTCAAATGGGGAAGGCCGGGGCATTTTTTCAAACTCTGACAACTATGGCGTCGGCGGAGCTCGAGATAGCTCAATGGTTAAGTCGCCAGCTTACGGACAGGAAGGTCCGTGGTTCGTACCCAACCTCAGCATCTCGACTGCTCCTGTCTAGGCTTGGGCAACATGACAATATCCCAGCCGTCGCGCCTCCTTCCGTTGGCATGGCAGCTAGTCACCCAATGGGTGGTACAGCTGAACGATTTTTTAGATAGAACTTTTGCTGCGATGAATGGGCGATATACGCCCCATAGATTACGCCGGTTAGAACATGACGAGGACCGTCATGTTCTCTTTTCAGTTAGTCCTGCTAAATGGCTCAAGTGGATAGAGCGCGAGTCTTTCAGTTAGCCCTGCGCTTGTTATAAGCGAAATGGCTCAAGTGGATAGAGCGCGAGTCTACTGACCCAGCCTCTGCCTCTCGACTTCCCTGCCTAGGTCCGTGAAACCTGACAATATCTCAGCCCTCGTGCTTTCTTCAGGTAGCTTGGCAGCTAGGCACCGAGAAGGTGTTAAATATGAATGATTTTTCCGTCTCAGGAGAGGGTGAACACAGTTGCAAACCTTTCCCCCATTCTGCCGAAGGTTCGCCGATGAATCGCCACTGTTCTAACGCGGTACTGCCACCGCACCCATTGAATACTACTACAACATCGGTGGTTGAAATCAGATCGTCATATGCACTTGCGGGTTGATTCTCCAAAACCGCAAAAAAGAATCGTATGCACAGATGCATTGTACCTCACTTCCAATATGAGACTAATCTCACGCTGCTCTCAAAGACGGTCGGTCGTAACTTGGGTGATTTAGATTTCCTAAGTCAAGCGGGTATACTTTTTGACTGCACCCAAAGAATCACCACACAGGGTATGCGTAAGCACAGCCTTTCTCTCTTTCTGCTTTCTGATTAAAAGCGTAGAACAGACCTTATGACACACCACCAACCTATGGATGATGAACAGTGGCTTACGCATCTCAACAAGACTGTAATATCATCAGCATATTCCAGACCTTGAGATCGCATTCCCTGCAGTGAGCAGATATATTTATCGTTGCAATAAACTCAATCAGAATAGATCTAACAGCTCTGACGATTACCCCAGGAGTATACGACAAGATGGTGGCAGTTTGTCGTACGCCTTCGCATACCCTGAAGTGTGGGACTGAAGACCCATGATCAGGTTTCTGCACCTCAAGAGCAGTTCTATTTGCAAGACAGGAAAAGCCATACTGTTAGGCGAGTCAGACGCATATTGCGTCAGAGCTGCAAACTTTTCTTATATATGTTATTGGAACATTTGTCGAACTATCAATACAAGGCCAATAGGACGATAAAGAAAAAAGCCGTTCCTTTGCCCGCGGATCCGTTGTGCCTACACAGGACCGCTGAAGCCAAAATCTTTGAAACTACAACGACAATTCACACAGGCGAACCGGATGCTCCCTTTGAATATCGGTATGGTTGTATTTACCTCCTAAAAGGATGGGATAATCCCATTTTCCCATATCTGTTGCAGCAAAGTATTTGGCTCAAGCTCTAGAGTTTCTGACCTCGATACGCGATGCAGGTGAGGGGACCTGTACCAGGAGTGACGACGGCTGCTTGCAAGGTCTCCCCTACACCTTCTAAAGTTCAGTTCGGAGCCATTGAGGAAGTCCAGTAAGGCTTTTTATGAGGAATCTGCTGATTAGACCTGAACCTATATTGTCCTGGTAGTGTCGCCGCTGTTCTCCCGCAATCGCTTATACACCAGTTAGGGCGTGAAATTACGAACCCCAAGGTTCCCGGTCTTAACCTTTGTACATCGACTGCTCCTTTGTAGACCTGGGAATGCTGACAGTATCTCAGTCCTCGTGGTTCCTTCGGGTGGAATGCCGGACAGGCAGCGAAAGGATAGTACAGCTAAACGATTAATCTTCATTATTTAGTTTCCCACACGGATCATCAGAACGATAAATTCGTACCCATCTCAAAACAACTTAGTGACCAGTCTGAAAATAAGGTCGTTAGTTAGGAGCAAAGCGTGATCGGGTATGATTTGCCCGCACCAAACTTTTTAGGACTTACTAATTTTGCATGCAATCGTACGCTTTGGAGAGGCATTTGCGGACTGAATAATCCATGCTGTGTTTTCAATGCGATATTGGACGTGCTAACAGAGACGCACCCATTGTAGGGATGTGTTCGGAAAACAGTATGCGGAAAGCCTTGTGCCTTTATTTTATGTCGATGACACTAACCTTCACATTGATACTTCGAATTTGTGCAGTGCTGTATGACATCTTTTCTACCGAACTAAAGGGTTTTCATCTTAGCTTTGAGGGACATGAATACCTTATTTATCATGATGTGATTGTCTGAGGACCTGGAACATTTGGCTCGATCACCATCGACATTGAGCTTTCGGTGACGGCTGGGTTCACTTTGCTTTTCTACCACTCGACTTTGACCAGAACGGCTATATTAACCGCTGTTGCGCTCGAACTTCGTGATAGTCGCAAGTTCTCTATCCAACACCAACCCACTACGTAATACCAGGAATGAATGTTGAAAGGAACCAGCATACAAATTGTGAAATCTTCTGTTCCATCTTGACAGGTGGCACTTTCAAAGCCATCCGATAATAAGGTTTGCCGGGCCGAGGAAAAGTGAAGGATACCGTATTTGGAGGAGCACTTTGGGAGACCTTTGTATTAGACAATAGTTGGGAATTACAGGAGCCGCAGAGGTTATCAGGTACGGTGTTTGGGGCATGTGCCACATGTGCCAAACTGTCATCTGCCAAAGGGAATTGAGTTTCGCACTCCAAAATGGCCATGATATGGCTAAGGTCAGCGTGAGCGCTGTGGAATCTTCACACCTTTCTGAATGGGCCACATGAACTTTCATCTCATCGGGTTAGCAACCAAACAGAACATGGCGCGTAGCCGATTCCAGTGGCAACCTTGTGATGGCCCACACAGATACCTCAACCATAGAAAAATTAGAAGCGTGAAGAATGACAGAGAGCGCTGGTGGATTTCGAAGGTCCGGGAAATGGAGAAGGCTTTCTTCGCAGGTAACAGCCGTGTCATATTTCAGCTGATTCAATCAATCAGTCAAAAGAAGGCATTTGTCAGTGAAGCGGTGTTGGGAGAGGACGGAATGGTAATTCAGTCTCTCAAAGCGATGGGCTGAGCACTTCCAAGAACCGTTCAGCTTGTCTCCAACACATTGACTGGAAGAGCTCAACAAGCCGTAATGGAACATCGACACCAGTCCGTCGTGAACAACCGAAACCCAGCGTGGGATATCAATCGTGTAGCGCGGCAAGGCACCCAGCGCGGATGGCCTACACCCTGCACTCTTCAGAAGTGACTGGGTCCTGGTGAACAGTCTGACAACCATACTGCAGGAGATTTAGAACAAAAGCAGAATACCAGTTGAATGGAGCTTTTCGACCGCGTCCTTGAAAAGGGCACAAGAAGAAAGCAGAATACCAGTCGAATGGAGCTCCTCGACCGCGTCCTTGAAAAGGGCACAAGAAAGGCATGCGAAAATTATCGTGGCATCAGCCTGGTATTTGTCCCATCCAAGGCGCTCTTTGGCATTATTTCGCGGGCGAGACAGGCTCGTAAGAATCAAGCTGGGTTTCGCACTGGCTGAGGATCTATCGACTATATCTTTGTCTTGTGACAAGTTCTTGAACAATGTCACTCTTTCAGACGTCTAATGTTGGTAGTTTTTCTTGATCGGAAGGCTGCTTTTGACTCTGTCGATCGTCAGAAACTTCGGTGGTGTCTGATATTCAAAGGTGTCCCTTCCAAATTTATATCTTTTATGACGGCTCTGTATGCGAACTCCCGTGGGTATGTAGGAGGCAAGTTTTCGCCTGAGTTCTCCACGTTCAGTTTTGTACGACAAGGCTGCCCTCTCTCATCTTTCCTCTTCAACTTTGTTATTCATGTGCTGCTTGAGATTTCTCTGCCTGATTCCGAAACCTCGGAGGTCGAGATGCTCTCGGTAAGTTCCTTCATAGTCATAGACAGTATTGCTCTCCCTGGTTCAGATTTTTCAAAAGTGCTTCATTCTCGCAAGCTAGCCGATCTACGTGGTAGATAAATTTGTTTACCTGGGCAATTGTATAAGTTGCGGTGGAGTGGCTGGAGATGATACCATTTCTAGAATCGGGGAACCCAGAGCAGGACACTTATGGCGCCGACTTGACGTTCGTTGGTTTATCAAAGAGTTTATACCACAGCGGTGCGGTCCATATTGCTTTATGGATCAGAGACGTGGTCTATGCGTGCACAGGTCATTCGAAAGATGTCAGTGTTTGACCATCGTTGTCTCCGAAGTATTGGTCGGGTCTATTAGTAACATCGGATTAATAATGCTAAGGATCGCCAGGTGATCCCCGGAAGAAGGAACTCTCTCGCGATGAATGAATTACCTACACTTCATAGGTTACGCTGGTAAGGACATGTAACTCGCATGCCAGAAGACCGTTTGCCTTGCAGAGCTCTTTTCGCCCAGCTCTCTGGTGAGTGTAGGCGACCGAGAGGTGGTGTAACCTAGCAACAAACTATGGAAGCACTCACCAGTAAACGGAATCAGGTCGACAACTTCTGCCTCCTCGAGACTCAACTCACCAATGGTTAATGTCACTGGCAGAAGTGGCTCAATCGCACGGTCATTATAAAAAAGAAATAAAATAACGTCCAGCTGTAACATCTTTCGATGCCTAGCTGCCAGGCTACCCGGGGGCTTGATGGACCAGTGGTTGGAGCGCGAATTTACTGGCCGGTCCGGGGGCTTGATGGACCAGTGATTGGAACGCGAATTTACTGGCCGGGAGTTCCGTGGTTCGAACCAAATCTCCGCCTCTCAACTTCCCCTGTCTGGGCTTGAGAAACCCGGCAGTATATCAGCCCTCATGCTTCCTTTAGATGGCATGGCAGTTAGGCACCCAAAGGGTACTACAGCTGAACGACTGCACGCGCATCAATTGCGTAGCTACCGAGTTCCCGAACTAAGCAAGCATGCCGTTACCTCCGGTCGGACCCTAACACAACTCTCTACCTTACCTCAGTTACATGATAGCCGCACGTAGATTGACTAGTTCGTTGAACGCATTTGCATTTTGCTCTTTCATATGTCCACTTCTTTGCATTCGGACTTCCCACCCCTGTTTTTCTTGACTGGTATTTTGCCGTATAAACACGCGTCTCTGGAACCCTTTCCCCTTCTAAATTTCCCAGCTTCTTTTTGATCTTCAGCCGACCAAGACCGATTAGCACCTACCCTTTTCATTTCTTTATGACTGTAATAAATATTACCCATTTTCATCCCATGAATTCGTATACCTATTGTTAGCCTCTATCATCCTTACAGGATTCCCCCTCGTTTGCGATCCACCACGTGAGTAGTAAAAATTATCCCGGGCTTGCTCACTGCTTCCTACCGTACGGCTGGGCAAGCGCATGCACGGATTCCATTTACGTTCAGTATTTACTTTGGCCAAAGCTTACCCGTGCTCAGTGGGCTGTTTTGATGAATCACTCTTATTTTTGAGTACATACTGCTTTGTTGGTACACAAAGCTCGGAATTCGCCCGTTATTTCCAAATAAACTTTGAAATTCCTAGTTTCCGTCATCCGTCATTCCATTCGCACTGTTTTTAATCGTTTTTCTAGCTATACTACCCAATGGACGCATCCACGGAAACCGGTCAGCCGATAAACGAGCTCAGTCTTCCGCTTGTGGAACTGTTTGTCAAAGCAGCTCCCTCTAATCCATCGGAAATCGCCCCCGGTCTTCTTGATCATCAGTGGCTTATGGTGTTGCGCGTATTGGAAGATAAGCACCTGATCCGGCTGCGGGTTACACCAATCAGCATAAAAAATCCACCGGAAAGTTACATAAAGCTTAACGTTGCTCGGTGCATCCCTATCGCATGGATCGAATCTGGACTGCTTGAGGGAGAGAACGCTGCTGGATCCGTAATAAACTCTTCTGGATCATTGGAAACCTTGATGGTTAAAGTGGGACTGTCATACCTTGATCCCAAACTCAAGCTTGACGATATCAAGGAAGCCGAGAGCGTTTTTGAGGACCTATATAAAAATTTGATGCACTACGTGCGAAACAACGTAAGCAGTCGCTTGCTGTCCAGCTTGACAAAGTTGAATCAATATATGGCGTCCAAGCCGGGTCCGTACCTACTGGGTCCAGAATTGTCCTATGCAGATTGCCAGTTGATGCCTAAACTGCAACACGTTCGTGTCGCTGGTCATGCTTACAAGGAGTTTGAAATTCCCCGGGATCTAACACACCTGTGGAAGTACATTGCCACCATGTACAAATGTGAGTATTTTCGGAATTCATGTCCCTCGGATCGCGACATGTTAATGCAATATGCTGAGCGGGACCCATTGTCAAAAGACTTTCATCCAGGATTGCTCGGGCCTGGGTTTTCCGATGCTATTCCGGAGGATGTTCAATTTGGGCATCAACAGCAGCAGTCGCTACAAACCGAACACAAGGAGTATGAGGAGCATCCCGAAAATACTACGCCGCAGTTCGAAGCGCAGCATTCTCAAGAGAATGGCGATGTAGAGGTTGATGAGCCTTAGATTGCATTCCTGTCCACTAGCCTATCCCTTGAGTTAAACGTATTTTTCATTTCGCCGGATTGCACGTAATTCAGATACCTCTATGATATTCGTGTACACGCGGTGTTTATCCCCTATTTGATACCTACTTTTCTACATTCACTTTGCTATGAGGACGGTAGAATTGCCATGTTTGTTTATCTGTGTGTTACTGATTGTGTGTTCTTTTTCAACCAATCCCCTTATTTATGCTATCCCTGCTTTGTGCCATTCGAAAACTCATTTTCTACGTTTTATATGATCCCCAAATTGCTGAGTGTTTTCAAACTCACTGGTGGGTTAAACTTCGTACTTTTTGCACACTGACGATTTTCTTGCTTCCGCCTGAAGTCGAATCACGTGCAGATCTATAACGGGTTAGTGGCTGACAACAAGACGTACCTGACTAATATTGCTCAAACCCTTCTCAAACAGATGGTTTCTGATTGGCAGTGAGTTTGTTTCATCGACGGGCATCCAATATGTTTAGGAATGATGCGCTACGGCTACTGACTGACGAACTAACAGAACGAATGCAACTGATTTGCCCTTCTTAGAGAAGTCGTTGCAATTCGGATAGATTGATGGTCAACTGGCAGTTCCCAGTGCACAGAATCAAGGGAAACATCGCGATTATGACAAATACAACGGTTTATCCTATCTAGGCTGACCAGAAGAGACCTTTCCAATAATTATAGGTTTTTCGTGATCGCGCTCAAATGCTGGTGTATCCGGTCAGCTATGGGATCCCTAAAAGCCTGGAATCAAGGGAAACATCGCGATTATGATAAATACAACGGTTTATCCTATCTAGACTGACCAGAAGAGACCTTTCCAAGAATTATAGGTTTTCCGTGATAGCGCTCAAATGCTGGTGCACTCCGGTCAGCTATGGGATCCCTAAAAGCCTGTGAAATGCTAACAGGCTATCCATGTCGTATACCAACTTTGCAGTTCCTGTTGCATCTGCTACAGATGTGGTTTCCAATCAACAGGTTTTACACTTGACGTTCCGCGTCTGGTTATTTGTTCTTCACTAGAAAGTTGACAAATTCGCGCATGCAGATATTCATTGCCTTGAAGTTATCAGCGGGGGTGGATCGAAGTAAATTCGTCTGAATTAATGTCTCCTGCACTCGAGTTGGGGTTCTGGCGCAAAACAGAATGCCTGTGGAATCGGAAATTGGGGGTAGTGTAAGTGTGATATCGCTCCGCAAATTGTGCTTTACTCATCAACGATTGAGATTGCGTGGCCCTTTTGATAATTCTCCTGCTTGGTGCTATCATTTTACTTATCAGCTGGTGGTTTTATCAAGAGAAATTTATACCAGAACGATACTCTCCGTCGAGGAACCCGGGGTGTTTTCAAAATCTTCCCACTTGTGGGATGACTTGTGAGATCTCTCGTGTAACATGTTTTCTGCGCTGGAATAACGGCATTTCGCTCGTCTGGAAGATTTTTTTAACAGCCTTCACATGGGCGAGGCAGTGTCTTCCTTGGTTTTGAATTTTATACTTCGAATTTTCAATGTTGTAGCTTGTTCGTGCTTTGTACACTAACTCAGAATGATGAACCTGCGTAGTGGTCGTCAGCTCCCGTCATCTAGTGTTTTTTCTTTCCTCACTTGACTTGAATAACAACCACTAAAGAATATGGTTTATCACGATGATAGCTCATCACATTACGCTGGAAGCACTATCAAGAGCTGGGTACGTTGACCATTGTGCGCCGTTTGGTTGAGTCTTTCAGTTTCATCATTTTCGTTGGGTGTTTCAACAGTGACTCGTTCCAGTTGGTGGTGCTGTGTTTATATCCAAGGCTAGTACATCGGATCAGGCTCAGTCCAGACAAAACGATTAAAGTAGCTGGTTAACATATCAGGTGTTTATGATGGTCTAACTGAGATGAACTTTTGTGCTTATGTCATTGCGTTTTCTCAATGTTGACCTTCGTCACCCAAACCCTCCGCATTTCACTGTCGACCGCGGTGGTCCTCAACGTTGACGATATCGCCCTCATGAGTATTTTTGAATTTTAGGAGAATATGGGCGTTTCAGTGGGTAGTAAGAGGTGGCGACGTTCGAAGGAGAATTGAAGAATTGTGAAGCATAAAGCATGGCCAGCTCCATACTGACAACTTTTACTCGACCCGAGTGGATAAAATCGTTGACAATCATTTAGGTAACTCCTTTTTCAAGCCCTACGCGGACGCGTCCGAATTGGTTGCAGCCCTCCGTCCTGGTTATCTGTGCCTTAAGTTGTTTGGGAAACAAATACATGAAAAATTCTTCCATCCTTAACTGTCTGTCTTGTCTTTGATCTTATTTCCGGTGGTACTATGACCCATGGTGTGCACTGATGCGTCGTTCCGGTGTTTCTAAATTGTATGACCTGGATATCGTGTAAACATTTGTCCCAGCTACATGCAAGTGGATGTAACGTTTGGCCCGTTTAGTAAGCGGATGGAAGAATACACGAAGATAGTCATGGTCTATGCAATCGAGCCTTCATTACGAAGCGAAAAACGGGTCACATTCCCCACGAGGGAAATGGGCTCTTGCATGGTCAACGGTTTGCATGGAAAGGCCGACCGAGGATGAATCCGTTCGGTAAACAGTGAATTCCCACGAGATTTTCGAGGGTGGATTTCGGTTTGCTTGTGTTTGTATTCACACTTGAGGATCGTAAGACAGGTCGATATCTCCATTCAGAGGCTCGTAAACAAATGACTAGTGGTATGCAGCTGCAGCTTGTTTCCAGGTTACAAGGTGGAGAGTTCGCTATACAAGCAGACGACTCGGCTCCACCAGATAACTTTGCTTCACTTCTGGCCCATGTGCGATATCCCTAGGACAACTGCGCTTACAAGGCGTACTCTAGCTCCCAAACTGGTTCAAGCACGAAGAAAGAAGGGAAATTCGAAGTCGTAAAACCGTTCTTTATACGCAAGCGAATTCTCTTTAAGTAGCTCGGCTGCTCGAAAACTTTCCTGCTTGTTGAGGTTCCTCGAAACCGGCAGGTTTTCAGGTCCATGACTTAGAGGTATCAGGTCGTCCACAAGGATGAGTGGGTGAATCATCTTGACCGTTCACAAGTGGTCAATGAATAAGCTAGAATTTCGCACCAGCCAGTTCCACACGCAAAATACACACAGACTTGTGGTTTTGCGGCAAATGGAGCTGTGTTTGGTCTGTATGCGAATACTTACTCGCCATTTACTTGGCCACTTGTTGCGTGCAACATGTCGCCAAGCAACTGAATTGGAAGCCGAATATGTTCATTCAAATCATACCTTTTGTGAGTGCGTTTAAAGCGTTTAAAAATGACCAGATATTTCGTCAGCTCTGTATTAAAGCCCATACAAAGCACTACGTCTTGGACTACATACTGAGATGCGTTGGATGTCCAAAAACGATTATCTTATCCGGTCTAACGATTGGCTGTGAAGCGTGGGGAGTGACCTGCAACGACTGACGGAGGATGCCTTCTCGTTTGGTCTGTGCTAAATATCAAAGAAGTGAGCCTGTAAGTACCAGGAAAACCAGCGACTAATCGATTGCAGTCAAATTACCAAATTCATCGACAAAGTTGACCCATTCCGGCAAAACATATCCAGAAGGGACTTCAACCAGTGCCAAGACCTTGTTGCTTGCAAACAGGACTTATCGCCATAGGATATGGGAGGTGTCGGACAGCACTTGGAACTGTTAAGAGCCCATGTGACTTAGTTCTTGATGCCTTTACTGAAGGTGGGATCGTGAAGGGTTGGTCTATTTCTATTTATAGCTGCTATCAAGAAACATTTTTGAGCAGTGCAGCGGTCAGGGTTGCATGAACACGTTTTAAACGGGGCTATACGTGCAATCGTGGGAGCACAACTGAATACAAGTTGTTGAACTAGGGTGCAGTTGCTAATAGTCACATATCTGGAGAATCTGGTTTCAGCGTTCTAATGAATTTACTGGCAAAGCAAAAACATCTTTTGGCCTGTAAACAAAATAGCTTTGTTTAACCCTTTCTCATTCGAAGGAAACTTATTAACGGATAGTCACTCATGCGTACGAGGCGTCTTCTGATCTCAAACAGACTTCGACACAAAAAATTGGGAAGAATCACCGTTAGATAGGTGGAAATCTCTACAGGCCTCATTAATGTGAGCCACTGGTCTATGCCCAGCGGCAATTAAACGAAATTGAATGCAATTAACAAAACGCAGGTAATTTGTTGTGCAATTAGGTATAATTTTTTTCATCCAGAACCACAATCTGCGATACCCAAGGTACCAACATTCTTCCTAGTGATAAATACGGCCAAGGTCACCTTTTATTAGTTTGTTTTGTTTGGAGTTTTATACGCGGGCTATGTTGAGCAAATCCGGGTCACTCTCCGTACTAACATGGGTGGATTTGACAGATAAATCTCCACATCCTGTTGAAAATCGAACAACATATCCTTGGCGAAATGCAGTCACTGTTACCTCATCTCAGTTGAACATCTCATTTGTGATGAGTTCTAAGGACAAAATTGGCTGTGGGCTATCGAAGGCTTTCCAGCAACCTTGTGAGTAATGTGCCTGCCGGGACTTCTCATGTCAAAATAAGGACAAAATTGGCTGTGGGCTATCGAGGATTTTTCGGCAACCTTGTGAGTATTGTGCCTGCCGGGACTTCTCATGTCAAAATCCGTTCCGATTTCCAATTGATGATATTTGCCCTCTTAGTCCGGGAGTCGACATAACATGACCTTAAGTACAAGGGTTTAGTGAATGCTATTCTCCGTTGTTGACTTTCAGTTGCGCTGTAATCTAAGTGTACTGTTTTACACAAGAATTGAGTTCACACCCAACAGATATTCTTTCGATAAAGACATTAGATAACTTCACATGCTGAGTAGAAGTAGTGAGCTTGAAAAATCCATCCACTCGCAAATAATTAGCCACATTAGGAAAACACGTGTCTTGAAATGACACTGCTACAGGTTG